CTAGCCACTATATAAGTAATGTTAGATGCATAAATGTCTATTTGGTTACACCTTATTTTAAGGTGTCATTTTTACATTGTAATTATACATTTAAGTACTGAGTAATATTAATTAACTACATACTTACTATATGATTAGGGTTAGGATTAGGGTTTGTCTTAGAGTTACTTGCATGCAATTATGCATAATTTATTGTTATTATAATAGTAAGTGCATGTAACAAGTAACAAGGACACCTTAAAATAAAGTGCTACCATTTATTTCTTACAGTTAATAATGAATGTATTATTATTATTATTATTATTACTACTACTACTAGTAGTAGTAGTAGTAGTTTTATTTTAAGTTTTAAGAAACCAAAATGAAAGAAAATAATTTGTAATAAATGTCAACAAAAACATAAATGGTATTTCAATATGATTAATTCAATGTATGATATTAATTAAACATAAAGTATGTATCTTTAGCTAACATGTTAATTTTCAATCCTAAAAATATATTTTGTAAAAATAAATTAGAAATCTTTTTTTTTCACTAAAATTTTCCATGCAAGTAAAACTGATATGAATATTTGAATATCTTCCATACCTTTCCATATATTAGAATAGCTTATTGAAAAATATGTATAGATAAATACAGCTTCTCATGTATTGTTATATTAGGGCATAAATTATTAAATATTTTTTTATTTACATAATTAAGTGAAAAGCAGCATGTCTTGACAAAAACATGTCTCATTATGAATATATGAATATCTTCTGTATCGTCACTAAATCTTCTATCTTCTTGTTGATATAAGATTTTGGTAATTTGGCACACCAAAAATGCCATGTTTTTTTTTTAAAGATTTATTTTTTTATGTTTTTGCCTTTATTCAGATCGGACAGTTAGTTCACAGGAAGTGAAGTGGGAGAGAGAGAGGTGGGCGGGGACGGGAAAAGGTCCACAAGCCAGGGCTCGAACTCGGGACGTCTGAAGCGTTTATTTATTTCAAGGCTCACAAAATTGCTAGCCCGACGTCCCGGGGCTATTGTGTTTTCCATTCAGGCTACCAAAATGTATCACCGCCCTGCCCGACGGGCTATCTTGAACAGTGATATAAAATTATTTCCTTGATTTGCGTTGTTTACCAGCTTGTAGGGGTAAAACGGATCGTAGTTGATCGTTTTTCAATCCTAAAAATATATTTTGTAAAAATAAATTAGAAATCTTTTTTTTCACTAAAATTTTCCATGCAAGTAAAACTGATATGAATATTTGAATATCTTCCATACCTTTCCATATATTAGAATAGCTTATTGAAAAATATGTATAGATAAATACAGCTTCTCATGTATTGTTATATTAGGGCATAAATTATTAAATATTTTTTTATTTACATAATTAAGTGAAAAGCAGCATGTCTTGACAAAAACATGTCTCATTATGAATATATGAATATCTTCTGTATCGTCACTAAATCTTCTATCTTCTTGTTGATATAAGATTTTGGTAATTTGGCACACCAAAAATGACATGTTTTTTTTTTAAAGATTTATTTTTTTATGTTTTTGCCTTTATTCAGATCGGACAGTTAGTTCACAGGAAGTGAAGTGGGAGAGAGAGAGGTGGGCGGGGACGGGAAAAGGTCCACAAGCCAGGGCTCGAACTCGGGATGCCTGAAGCGTTTATTTATTTCAAGGCTCACAAAATTGCTAGCCCGACATCCCGGGGCTATTGTGTTTTCCATTCAGGCTACCAAAATGTATCACCGCCCTGCCCGACGGGCTATCTTGAACAGTGATATAAAATTATTTCCTTGATTTGCGTTGTTTACCAGCTTGTAGGGGTAAAACGGATCGTAGTTGATCGTTTGCACGTGTTTCTAAGTCTTGCCGATTTAAACATTCAAGTGTTTTAAACCATTCACGTGCATTCGGAGCTGCGTGCACTCATTCAAAGCGCACACAGACAGCCGCGTTTCAGACAATGCACATACACAGAATTGATTCCTCTTTCGCGTATCCTTGCACATACAAACATACACACAAAATTATCTCAAAATAACTGTCTCAGCAAGTATTCTCGTAAACACAGTCGGTTGTCTTAAGTGCATCATTATACTGGATCCGTGCATTCGGTCTTAAAGGGGCAGCAGCCAATAAATACCTGCTGTTCCATAAGCGCCACCTGCTGTCAGAGAATGACATTTGCGTCTCATTCACAAAGCTAAAATTAGACCATTCTGTTTTTGCTTCAAATTTCGAAATTATGCAATCTAATTGCATTCTAAATAACATGTGTTTAGCATCTTTGTTTGGATCATGATTAAAATGCAGTGGTTGCCTCTGATTTTAAATGGAAAAGCACAGCCAAAGCATTAGTTTGTTTATATGAAGAGATTTATTTTATTTGTATTATTTAATTATTTGATTTGGAATTTGTTTTTAAATTTCACGCTAGTTTTATTATTTGACATATTTCAATTTCACAAAGAAATGTGCAGCATTTTGTTGGAGAAACAATAAAAGGACACCTTCTCATTTATAATTTGTCTTAAATCTCATTTTGTTAAAAGGAAAAATTGTGAGAAAATTGTATTGTGAAATCAGTATCGTGAATCGCATCGCATCGTGAGTTGAGTGAAGCGTTACATCACTATATGCTACTAGTTTTTGCTGTGGTATCAAAGATGTATTCCGTTATTTAAATAATAAAGAACCATATTTGTTTTGCTCATCTGCAAAATGACCCGATCTGTTACTCAAAATCTGATATGATAATGCAATATGATCCGAGCTGTGGGTTTTGTGATCTGTTGCACCCCTACTCTCTTGACTTGTTATTTAAAAAAAAAAAAGTGAAAGTTTTTAATCATGTTGATTTGTCCGCAGTGAAGTTCAGCCAATGTTTTTTTTTTTTTTTGGCTACTTAAATTCATTTTGGTCTACCAAAATCTGAAGAATGTCTGCCCGAAGGGCTACCAGAGATTTTGAAGATTTTTTGTATTTATTTAGACAGGGAAACCAGGTAAATGCTGAAATAAACAAGTGAAAGCAGAATGGAGAAATGGACAGGACAAACAATACAGAGTGATATTAAGAAGACAGAAGTGTCCAAGCCGGACAGTGAAGGGCAGCCGACAGGTAACAAGGTTTCTCTCAGGACTGAGATGAGACATTAAACCCAAGCTTTTAGTATATGTCCTTTAGCTATCCATCAGATTATCAGCAATGCGCACACAGGCTCGCATGTAGCATGAGAAATTGAAAGAGGAAAAGGCCCAGAGATATCCGAAAGTCCATTAAAGTTGCTCTGACAGGTGGACAGAGTTTGTGTGGTTCAGTCCCAGGGGAACGACTCTAATGCGTGCTGTGGTGCGGCAGACTCATGTTATCACACAGAACATCTCTATCTGTCTCTCTGTTTTTCTCTCATTCTCTCCCTTTCCTTCTCTTCACCTCTCTAGGGAAATGGCTGGTTGGTTCGGGGCCTGAAATGAACTGGTCACAGTGACGAGTTCATCAACTTGGAGTTTCCTTGAGGACACACAGTTTTCTGGATACTTGGGAAAAAAAGTGTTGCATTATTTTCCATCTGAGGTGTATAGTGTATAGGGATGATATTTCAGATTTTATTTTTATTATTAACATTATTTTTGAAAAATCTAAATTAATCAACAATGTGAATATTGTGATTGGCCAATAAGTTGACAATAGGCCAGTTTCACACTGCTGAATTGATTCCTAAAATAATGAGTGACATGAATTGGCTCTTTTTAGTAAATAAGAAAATGTTTTATGATTTTTAAATGTATAATTTTTTTTTAAATGTACAATTTTTCAATTGAATTATTCAATGAATAATTCAATTTAATAAAACATTACCGTCAAAACATTTCCCCATGTGTCATTTCTCATCTATTAATATGATAAAAAATATTATAATATAATATATTAATTAGAAAATCTGTTAATATAATATTAATCATATAAAAATATAATTTTTTTTAAAAGCAAAAGGAAATAAACATCTTATTTGATAAATGTTCAAAAAAACCTTAGGTTAAACATTTAATTAATATAAAAAATAAATATAAATAAAAAGGTTATTTTTCTGTGGCTCACTCAAACTTATTTAAAATGTATTACTATTTTATAATAATAATAATAATAAGTTATGCATATCAGAATTTCTTCTGTATATTTTCATATACTAAAATGCCTTATTGAAAAATATGTGTAGATAAATATCGCACTTTATGTGTTGTTATATTTGGGCATATTACATATTTAAATATCTTTATTTTATTTATTTAGTGAAAAGCATTGCGTAAAATATACGTCATGGTTATTTTGAAATAAATAATGTCATTTTACTTGGATTAGTCATTTTCAGCTGGTTGAAATGACAGTTCTTCGGACTGTCAAAAATAACCTTTTAAAACCATTTGAGGGAAAATGTATCATTGTATTTAAATGAATACAAGTAAATCCAGCCTTCATTCACGCGTAATTCAGGACATCAGCCTCACACTGTGACATCTGAGAGCATTTATTCAAGCCGAGGGATCGCAGGGATCAATGACAGAAGAGCTAAAGTGTTACCGTAACACTGAATATAGCTCACTGGCTTCTCTTCGTAAACCAATCTCGCCAAATGATCCTGTTGAACAGACACGTTCCCTCAGCTACACTGATTTTGTGCAAAGGAGTTTGTCCTCATTAGCGTGCTCATTAATCTAGTGATTGCGTACTCTGCGGTCTCAGGAACCGTGTGTGAGAGATGTAAATAATGCAGGAGGATGATTATTTAATGGTCAATCATTGGGTTACTTATGAAGGGGTTGTGGGTCTGAGGAAAGGTGCACTGCATTACAACTTTAAAAGCAGCGACTGAAAGATACATGAGAGAAGCATTTAGGTTACAAATGATTATTACATCCCTGATGATCAATTGATGAGGCCTGCTTTTAACGTAATGTGTGTCACTGCTCTCTCTCTTTGTGTGTGTGTGCTCACCTCATAGTGTGCCACGCGCTGAGACTCAGAGATCAGCTGAGCGTTGCAGATGTTACAGTAGCTCTCCGTGAAGAGTCCTTCATCACCAGCTCCGGCAGACTTCATCTGATCAAACACACACACACACACACACACACACACACACACACACACACACACACACAAACAAAGAATGTTGAGACTCACAGAGCTCTTTTTTGAGTTTAGACTGATTTGACTAATTGTCAAGTCAATGTTGGTTTATTGTTGTTTTTCTGCAGTTAGGAAGTACAAGGACACATCATTTTTTCTCAAAGATGTAACATAAGACCTTGCATTGCAACAGCATGTGACAAATTACATAAATATGGCAATAAATAATGTGTATACACAGGGGCACCTTAAGATAACCAAAGGCCCCTGGGCTACAGCATTACAGACCCTAGAAAACCTCTATTTTTCTTCTATTTTTAAGCTTCCTAACAATTATTTGTCAAATTTCGTTTTTTTGTCTTGTTAATATGCCAGATAACATTCACTACACTGTTCTACGTAAAATGTGATTATAAGCGAATATGCAAATTCATCTTTGCCACAAAGGCGCTTGTGGAACAGCAGAATTATAAAGCCGTTACATAACGTAAACAGTACTTTATTACGGGCATTATACGGAGGTAATATGAAAGAAAAATGCCATCAAAACTTTCCTGGCTGAAATATGAGTTTACAGGTATGATTTAAACACCATAAATCACACACGATATTAATTATTCATCATCAGTAGATCAAAACAACATGGCATGTTGGCATAAATGTGGGTTATTTGGTGATTGCTAAGTGTGTTTTTATTTTGAAACATGACATGCTCACGTTTAATTAGTTAAATCACAGCGTATAAAGTTTAATCACATTTAAGCAATAGGACAATTCCTATTTTTCCATCCCCAGATTTACAATGAAGACTTTGAAGCAGCACTATTTATGGAACACAGATGACACACAGATTACATCCAAGCAAGTTACTGAACTCTCACTGTATGACATTACAGAACGTTGTCCGGTCCAGTTCCTTTCACACAGCAGTGTTGTGTTTGTGTTAATCTGCGTGTTGACATAAAGATACTCTGGTGCTGCGCTTATTTACTAGCGAATGCATTGTACATTCCGCTTACAGTATATCGATGGAACACGTGGAACATACCAACTATACAAACTGTGTGGGGAGGACCTAAACTAAGTCATTCACTATATAGACTACTACAACCCGGGCGTCGCTGAAAATGAGTGTGCGCATTTGTTTACAGAACGCTGTTGTCACTGCTGCAAACTCCCATATAAAGAATTATTCAAAAAATATAATTCAGCCAGTGGGCCCCCTTTCCAGTGTAGGCCCCTAGGCTTCAGCCCCTTGAAGCCCATGCATTAATGCACCCCTGTGTATACAGATGGAAACAAAGACATTAGAGCTCTCACTGCTGCTGGTCTTACATACTCAGGCAAGTCTGATTGGTTGTTTTTGAGTGATTTTGGCTACTGGTTACAGTGGTTAGCTGGTCAGTCTATAAGACCATTTGGCCTACCAGCTAAAATCGGTTGAGTTTTTTTTTCTGTCTCTCCCCCAACAGTGATGTTACAAAACCTAGTACGATTCCTCATTTTCTAGGGAAACATAATTTTTTTTTTTTTTAAAGTGACGTGACATGTGGCCAAGTATGGTTACCCATACTCGGAATTAGTGCTCTGCATTTAACCCATCCAAAGTGCACACACACAGCAGTGAACACACACACATCCGGAGCAGTGGGCAGCCATTTTTTTGCTGCGGCACCCGGGGAGCAGTTGGGGGTTCGGTGCCTTGCTCAAGGGCACCTCAGTCGAGGTATTGAAGGTGGGAGAGAGCGCTGTACATTCACTCCCCCCACCTACAATCCCTGCCAGTACGAGACTCAAACCCGCAACTTTTGGGTTACGAGTCCGACTCTCTAACTCTCTAGGCCACGACTTCCCGATTAGGCCACAACTTTCTAACCATCCTGCAACCTCATATTTGTTATAGTTAATGTTAGCATGTTGCTTAGTTATTGATTCTCTTAACTTTTTCCCCTCCATTGGCGTAATTTTCCATCATTTATGAGACAACGCTCCCCCACCATTGACAATTTTCTTGCTTTCTGTGCTTTTACAGTTATACAGTAGGAGGCGCTGTTACACATTTTCTGAAAGTGTACTGAATCTCTCAATCAGAACATGTGAAGAAGCAGAAACAGATTAAACAGCAAATAAATTTAAACTGCCTAACATTACTGAATGAAATATAGCCCCAGGAACTGGTATTTGACTGTAGCTGCGTTTACATTACCCTTCAACTTGCACAAATTGAAATTGCGAATTGAAAATACGCCCAATGGAAACACGTCAATTTTGCAAAAACTCCCATATATCGCAAAAAAATTTTTGCGCTTGCAGAAGGTGGTTTTCCGGCAATTCGAAAAAGTATGACTATTTCACAAAACTGCAATGGAAACAGTATTGTCACATTTACAGATCACCTGGTGTACGTAAAAGTCACATGATAATACTATAACCCCCAAGAAACACCTCATACGTGGCCACTCTCGCCTGCTGCGCATTAAGGCTCCGACACGCTGTTTCTTTAAAGATACATGTCTTTGTCTCCTTCAATTAAAAATAATGACTAGTGCAGTGGCTGCGATATACGTAAACCTACCAACATTAGTCATCATGACTTATTGCGAGAGGAAAAAATGCAATTTAGTCACATAACATCGTTTAATGGAAACGCTGTCATTTTGCAATAGTTTAATTTGTTATAGCTGTCATCTATCAAATATTGTGTAAGTTTTGCGCAAATCTGTAATGTAAACGCACCTTGTGTAAGCTTTGTGGGTATTGATGGAAGTGACCTATTCCATCTGTGATTTGATCATCATTCTGAATCCGATACGGGCATAGTGTTTGACAAAAACTAATACTCAATATTTAAAATCATTAAACATCATTTTAATATTATTATATACTATTTCTGGGATTGCTTTATCCATGAATGATACATGTGATGCTGTATTACAATTTAGCTTAGGTTGTTTCTAAAACGCTGCATGACTTTTAGGAAAACCATTGCAGTGGGAACACGTCTATGACACCTTAAAATGTTGTCTATGCAGCTCACTATGTTTGGGAACAAAGCTGAAGTTTGCAGTTTCGTATTCTTTCCACTGTGGTAGAAAGCTATTTTTACTGTGCGCTTAGAAAAGGTGTGAATGATCGTCAGTCATTGGCACAGGCTACTGTTTGCAAAGAGCTATGCAATGTGTAAACTGACCTGCTTTTCTCAAGGTCACACATACATTGAGAATGTTACCAACATTATGGAAACATGGGATTATTTTACTCCCACTCTTTTATTAAAGAGAACAACAGATTTTGATTGATGGTTGAAAAGATATTTCACATCCCACTGTTCCTGTACATTGATGTTTTCTTACAAAGCCCATGAGTCAGAGGAAGAATGGGCATTTAGCATTTATCACAGAAGAAAACTAGGCGCTGGATTCCTCAAGAATGAATAAGAAATTCGAAGAAATCACCCATCAAACCAAATCCTCGATGTATAATTGAAAAGCAAAGTGTCATAAGACTTCAACATCGCTCTTTTGCCATCTGTGAGTGAGGGTGATTCTGATGTGCAAAATCAATAATTCAGAGTGTTGCACTTGTGAAATTCAACTGTGGTTTAATCTTGATTCTTGAAGAGCCTGCATAAAGAGCTGAGGAGTTCAGGTGCAGTTAGTGTGCAAGGACTGATGGGTACACATCAACCTGACAGCATGTGTCACACTAATGACTCAGAGCGCCCAAGAATCTCCGATAAAGTCCAAAATAATCAGGCACTGAAGGAACACAGAGCACACAATCAGATATCAGATTTTCCTTATCATGACAGCTGAGAACATACTGGACCTTCTCTTCAGTATACTGTTGAATTTATGACTGTCATTGTTTGATTGCTTGTATCGAGCAGATCAATAATGGATTACCTGTGCAAATCTTTAAAGATATTCAGGTGCACTAAATAGTTATAACACAGTATTTCAATGTAAAAATCCTATATGTTAGATGTGCTGGTATAGCATTTCACTATGCTACAATTAAGTACATTAAATTAGCTTATTACATTTTTTTTTCTTTCAATGCAAATGTTAATGCTTTTTTGTGTCAAAATTAACATTGGTATTATTGCCTATGTAAAACGTGGCACATTTTTAAGGAATCACCGATATCAAAATTCTGCCTCATACTGTTAAGTGCTAACTATTTTTATGTAATTATATTCTAGAGTATTTTGTCAAATAAATGAAAAAAATAATTTTAAGTGCTACCAAAGCAATTTTATTACAGCATTATAATGTACAGCATAACAATGTATATTGATTTTAATATTTACATATTACAGTGTTTTTAAAGGTTAACTTTGAGTGTTAGAAGAAAGTAAATATAATCTAAATATAAAAATGGAGGAAAAAATGCACAATTAAATATGTAAGATTTGTCAATATTTGATATGATTTAATTTTGAGCATGTTAATTTCCTATATTTTTACATTTAATTAATTGATATGGTATCAATAGTTCGTGCATCACTAGAAAACTGATTTTGGTGTAATTTCCAATAAAAACGGCAGTAATATTTCATCAAATTATGGAGAAGAGCATAATAACCGGACTTATGCAGACTCCAGAATACAGTTATTATTGTTAATTAAAACTATTAAAAACATTTTTGTTAATTGAAATAAAATAAAATAAAATAAAATATAAATATTAAATGCAAACTCAGCTAAAACATTAGGCTGAAATAAGTTTAAGTAGAAGCACTAAAGTTACTACTGGAAATAAATAAAAACTGGAAATGGAAAAATGGAACAGATAAACATGAGCACACTAATATATTTCACTTTTAGTCTCTGATTTCAGATTTACCTGTCCCTAAACATCACAAAAAAGAGCACAATGTGACTGGTCACTTTACATGTCAGTCTCTTTCTATGTTAGTGGTTCAAGCCGCAAAATGAATTAGATTTGGCCAGTAGTGAACCATTTGGCAA